ATCGTTATGCAAACTACCAGAGGATGCTCCCAATAAAAGCTTTAAGTTCAGAATATCACATTCTCAGAATGGGCTTCTTCCCCTCTCAGATACTATTATAAGCTTAAATATTACTGTAATTAAAATATCAACATCAGGAGAGCTAAAGTAACACACAGTATGAAGAAACAGAGGTAACAGAATGTGTCAGTTAATCTTGCTTGTCAACTTTACTGGGTAAGAGACTCCTGGAGAAGCAACTGGATTGTGACAGAACTAACCACATCAATGGATTCATGGCTAAATGGGCTACTTGGATGTGGAGCCTAGTTGGAGAAAGTGAATCATGTGGGTATGACGTTGGTGACTGTCTGGTCCCAGGCCCCTTCATTTCTGGCTCTTTGCAACCTGCTCAGCTTATTGATTGCCATGAGTTGAGCAGCTGTCCTCCACCAGACCCTTCTGCCATGCCGTGCTCCCTTGGAGCCAGCTAGAATGCACTGAAACCTCTGACACTGAGCCAAAATAAACCTCTCCTTTGAGTTTATTAAGTATTTTGTCCTAGCAATAGAAAGCTGAATAACATACAATAAGATTGAGAAATTCCCATTTCACTGCTTACATTAATTCATTCTATAGGTGAATAGTTCAATTAAAAAAGTTTCTTCTGAAAAAAAAGTTTCTTCTAGGGGGGCTGGGGATTTAGCTCATTGGTTTTGCCGCCTGCTTCACAAGCACAAGGACCTGAGTTCAATCCCTGCTACCAAAAAAACAGTTTCTACTGTTCTATAATTCATAGATTAAGATGATTATTAGAGATTTAACAGCCACAGTTTGGGCCAACTCTATGTGCCATTTCATTTCTGTTTACTCAACGCATTTTAGAGTGAAGTGACATTTTATAGAGATAAGCTTGCTTACTATAAAAAGCACAAAGATGTGAAAGAGTTTTGCTTAAACCTCACACAATGTCTTGTCATATAGACTTTCGTTTATAAAAAACATGAATAATGATTTTTTTATAGTTAGAAAAAATATGGAAAACAAATGCTAAGAATTAGAACACACATACATAATATTTTCTATCTTAATTTTTCCCCCATGTCACTTTATTATGAATTGACTGGTAAGAGTTAATGAGCTGGTTTCAGGTTGCTGAGCATTCTGGTTAGCTGATGAGGTGGATGTAGAAGAACATTTGGAAAGGTGGGGGTGATGGAAGACAGTTTGCTGAAGGTCTTCCTTCTAGACTAGATTCCTAGCATACAAGTGGACTGACAGGATCACTGAACAAATAGATATTCCTGGTCATTTTGCTATCATCAGAACATTCTACCAGGCATAGTATTTGAAGAAGTATAAATAATATTGTCTCTAAAATGTATTAATTTCTAGAACTGAGGGAATTAAAAAAACTAAAGTCTAAATTGATATTACTTGTAATGCAAATGACTAGTAGTTGATATGTTTTGTACCAGAGGCACTTCCTCTCATTTAGTTATCAAGGAGATATATATGTCTTTTACCTTCATTTTATCTTCTTAATTTCAAAACAGTTACGAATCACTAAACCTGCAGGGTTCTTTTTGTCATTCAATTACAATTTTGCCCTAGAGGTATTTTATGGGCTTTATTCCACTGCTGGCTTTGTTTTACAGGCAAAGTTTAAATGATCCTGGGTTACTGTCTTTAAATTTAATAAGAAATAAAAGACTAAAGCGCCGGGAAGGTAGGCCGGGCCCCGATCCACCGCGGGAAGGAGAACCACGCCTGCTCCCGACCCAGCAGCCATCACTCAAGCGCCAGGAAGGTAGCCGTGCGGGTGTCCCTGAACCCTCATAAGCCACCCCCAACCCCGCCACGCACTCTCAGACCTCCTGCCTGTGCAAGTCTTTGGACCCACTCTGCAAAGACAGAGGTGGTCATCAAGGGTATTTTTCTGAGTTCCCAACTTTGAACATCTTTAAAGAAAGGGCAGGCGAAACCTGTAATAGAACATTGCGGAGTTCAACCATTCAGAAGGATGGGGAACTCAATCTGGGCCTTGCAGCCTGAGGCCAGTCAGCGTCATGGGGTTCAGCAATCAGCTAACTGAGATCAGGGGTCTTGCATCCTCGCTCTGCCTGAGCCATTAAATAGTAAATATACTATATTGAAAAGTTTGTTCACTGCAGACATGTTCTGGACTGCTTCTTGGTTCCAATTTAATTCAAATGATTTAAGGGTGTTAAACTAGTGACTACCACAGGTGGTCAGTGTCCAAGTTGTGCTTGATCTCAATGTGTTGCTGATTGTATCAGTTGGGGTAAAGCATTGCCGTTGAGTTGATGAGCTGTTTTCTCTGATGTTATGAAGATGAGAATGTCTGTGGGTCGTTAGAGACACAGAAGCTAGGGTGCAACTATATCAGGAAGATTTGGGTGATAATCCAGAGATTAGACCAAGGACAGTCCGACAACAAAAATTAAAATGAGAAAACACTTAAGCAAGACACAAGGACAGACTTCCAGTTCACCAATGGCAAACAGTAGGGCAAACGAGGATGAAAAGGCCGATAGTGAACCACCAGGACACCCTGAACTCAAAGCACAGGAAGAAACAAAACAGATCAATCAAGCTCTGGAAAAATTCAAAACAGAAATAATTTCCCAGATAACCATAGAGATAGTGAGCAAAATGGAAGTCGTGATTTGAGACTCTAGAGCAGAAATTGACAAAAAAATAGATGA